GGGTGGGTACCACAAGACAGATTTAGAAATTCATGCGAGGTTTTAATGTGTTTTTTCTGTGATCTATGGTTAACATAGACAATTATTTTCGTTTGTGCTCGATGGACGATTAAGGAGTTTCGATTGCTCCCACGTGCATGTTTTGAAGAACGCCGATTTCTACTAATTCATTCTTCATTGTTCCAGACTTGTCGATATCATATGATGAATATAAAATAATCTGTGCGATCACCACTAAAAGTTACTGGCTCCATGGTATGATATCAAAGAGTATTTATGACGTTTCTTTTTTTGAATTCGACTCGTTGACAGCGGGGTTGCGCGGGCGCAGCAAGCGGGTCGTGCATGACCATCATCACTCTGTACGAACTGACAAGCCACTAATGCATGAGGATAAAAACTGTTTACACGATTACGTTTTTTTTCACTGTTTGATTAAGATAGCTTAATAGAAATTATTTATTTAACAGAATGCTCGTGTGTTTTTAAGCGTGATACTGGTTTTTGCACAGACGCTTTTAATAACCTTATGTAAACATGCGGTCATTATTTTCTATGTAAATTACGATTTGAATAGACTGTTTTGACAAATTTTTACAGCTTGCTCCTAAATTATAATACCTATTGCAATATTAATGAAATATTTTACAATATTAAATTAATTCGAAGAGACAATCTAAATTAGAGTAGAGATATGTAATTGAAATATTTCTGGGAGGTCTCAAATATCAGTGTATTTTATGAATTTTCGCTTACCTACATGTTAATAGAATTATTTTCACGTATGAATTTATTTTTCAATCATGCAATGATGCAACACGCTGTGTTTTATGCATAGGTACTGAATCACTTATTACGGTGTGGCTAACGACTATTCGACGTCCAGGAAACATTAATTATATTTTAGAGCCACATTAAATATCTATCTTCATAACAACTATAGCTAAATCCGTCTTCTACTACTTAAAAACCTCAAAACATTATCTGGCTGTAAAATTTCAATAAATTATTATTTTGGGTCGTTGTCACTGAGTGATGTCAGAAAGACAGACAGACCAATGATTGGACAAAAACAAAAATAGTTGCACACGCAAAAAAAACAATGGCATGGTATCGCTAATGTAGTGGAGGGGAAAAAACAATGCAGAAGGATAAATATTTTAAAAAGTAACTAAATAATATTTGTATGGTAGAGAGAGAATTAAAAAAAAATGTGCAAAAAGTTGGGTGCTGTGCCGATTAGCATATCCTTGTTGTCACTCATACGCTAAACGTCCATTCTGCGATAATTGACACATAAAGCGTATAGACACTCTTGCGCACTTTTGCCCGCACTGCCAACATTTTATTAGGCACTTTCGCCTCTCTGTTACTAAGTTAAACTGAACAAAAAATATACAAGTAGATGTTGCATTTATCAGCTAGCTGTCCATCAGTCATCATGTTTTCTTAAGCGAAACAAAAAATCTCAAGATCTGTGATCATATTTTATTTTTAATAAATATAGTAAGCATGTGGGCTTAAACAGCATGAAAGAATTCATGTGTCGATGAATATAACTAATTAATATTTCTGATAAAAAAAACATGGGCACTACACTTGTCGAGTCAAAGATTAAAGTGTTAAAGTGCAGCACTAGTTTTTGTAGATGCTTCACAATCAATAACAATATTCGATTTATTATAATATGACTGTCATATAATAAGTGAGTACGTATGTATGTTCGTGCATGACAAAGTTTAACAAGAATGGCGTGACATTCGATACGGGCGTCGTTTTACAATCGCACCGCCTCGACTCAGCAATTTGTACCTTCATTACTAAATCGGATATGTAGAAACAGTAGCCAATTCCTCATATTGTTGAAGGTTAATCAAATGTAATAAACATCTATAATTTCATTCTAACACTTACTGTAGAGTACTATCAAAACAAATTTAACACCTCCGCAGACTCTAAAATAAATAATAAATTATAAGATAATTTAGACATATTGTGTTGAAGAGTCCGACACTTGGTTTTCAATGGTCCATCATCAGACGTCAATCAATCAATAACCGGTCAATACTAATGTTTAATGAGTATGTGCATTTTGATCAAGTGTCCCATTAATAAAAATTGAATTTTATTTTCTCTGTTTTAACATCAAAGATAAATAAACATTGAACAGGCTTTTGCCCTCTGCGGTTATGTAAGTGTACCTAAGTCGGCTCTGCAACCGGATTCTAGTCATCAATTGACTTGATCCGTAGCCCTGCATAGCAAATCCAGGCAGATGAGAAAGTATTACTGTTATTATGAACAAGGAAGCCTAGTCTAGGTCTTTGAACGATTTAAAACTTCAATCTTAATAACGTTTATCCTTTTAACTGCATACAGTCTCATAGGAAAGTTGGTTTGGAACCCTACTATGTTGATACAGTTATATGCAAAGTAAACGGGCACGATTGCAGTTCAAGACTCACACAATATGCACTTACAATAAAATGCAACAGAATGAAAGTGGAGATTTTTGGAGTCCAATAAAAAAAGTAAATCGAAACTTTATCGGATCAAATTAAATTTTGGCCCCTAATGTGCGTATACCATATTGATATTGTGGGAATTCGAGCAAATAGCGATAAAAAAATAAAAATGCATCGATATCAAATTATCGATTCGTACTTTTTGGTACTCCAATGCGAATTCCGTTTGGTTGCCGTGGGCCGAGGGGTACAGCGTCACTAACACTTAACCCTCTAATAAAAATCGATGACCGCCGACTTTTAATAACGTTTATACTTAAAATGGATACTTATGACCAGGGATACTGTCACAACAGTGCTTAGCACACATTAGATGGGTACTTTACGTGGCATTATGAACTAATATTAGCAAATTTAATTCACCACAAGCAGGGGTTAAATGGTCGGGTCAAAACAATTATGTCCATTTTAATAAACAAATTTTTCGGGTGGTTTCGGATTTTTATATCTGATTGAAGAAAGAAGTGAAGTGTTGTGGGCCCAAAATTCAAGATTCGGCTCTTTACAAAACTCGTAATCGAATAGAAGACATGTTGTGACTCCGCTACTAACAATGAGAAACATGATTCTTTATAATTCTGAATTATTATCATACATTAATCAAGCAGAATACAAAAGAATAAAACTTTTTGTCATTATCACATAAAATCCTTACGAAATGACGGCTATAAAAAAGCCAATAAATACAAAATCAAATTAAGAACTCACATTTATTGTGCAATAAACCAAATGCATTTTGACAATACGCCAATCGCCGTCTAAATAACTCATCGAATCACGGAATGTTCAAATACATCACTGTGACGCGCCCATAAATATTGCCAGGGCATAAAAGGCTAAATTCAGGCTCACAGACCTCAAAACATTTCTTTTTTAACACAATAATCAAGCTAATTTTATAAAGAGAATGCTTACACAGCCAGTTACAAAAGTATTGCTCATTTTTGATGGAATCACTACGCTCTTTAGTCATGGATTAACTCTGCCTGGGAAATATCTAGATGGGTAGCCAGACAAACAAAGGATAACCAAAAACTGCACAAAAAACAAAGCGAATTACCAATTACGCTTACATTTCATAAAAACGCGTCACACTAGCACGAAGATATTTGATGCAATTAGACACAGGTGGAAACATGCAGACATAACGCATATCGATTCTTTTTACACACTGATATAAAATATGTATTAGACATGCATTTTTTGTACTGTAGTAACACATTTGACGTGGACCATAAACTACAAGGATTTTATCACCATTGCCACGGAAGAGACTATAGTAATTTTAATTTTGAAGTTACCTAATTTTAGAGCTGCACTGAAACTGCACTAGCTACAAACATTGGAAAACATCATGACAGTGCATTTTTCGCCTCAAAAGACCTGTTGCGATACGCATTAAATAAAGTGCACGCTCCAACGAACAATTGTAGCAATCACTAATTTGAAGATGAAGCTTGAAAACGCCGCGCCTTGGAGAAACTGAATGGACCGTCTTAGAAAAGGTATTGAGAACAATTGTAATTGAATGATGATTCCCTTTATTGATCCAAGTTATTAGTGAACGTTTAAAGAGTATGGAATACTTATACGAATAGAAACACCTGAAAGTGGAACAAGAGACGTTGATTGTACTGTTTCCTTTCTAAATATTTACATTGTGTTTCTGAGCAACGCTAGCCTTTAAATAGGTCATCCAAATGCTGTTACAATTTACGACGGCCGGTGTCTTTGCGGGTGGAATGCCCTTCCAGAACAAATATTTGTTTGGTCTATAGAAAATATTTTACAGGTGTGAATTTGAAAAATGTAGTAAAAGGCAATAGCATATTAAGCCACAGTGTTGGGAAAACATATCATACCATATTCCTAAATCGATTTAATTTAAAACAGAGATTCGAGTCAATAGACATATGCTATCTGGCAACAAGCCAAAATAACTAAAGGCAATACTGAATATATAGATCATATAGCAAAAGATTAGGTAGGCATAAAGAATTTACACAAAAATGGTATCTTTTCTTTTGAGAGAAAAAGCTAGTTTGCTTTAACAAGGTGTAGGCAAATTTGCCGTATTGGAACGAGCCCAGAATGTACTAGAGTTAGTATTAAAATACGTCAACACACTCTATTTGGCACAAGGCGAGCGCTATTACTGCCATAGACAGATTATATGCCTTGCTCGCTGGCGACTGTTATCTCGTTATCGCATAAAGGACTGTGGCCTGTAGGCAGGACATAGCACACAATTACGGAAAAGTGGGTGTAAGTACTGTATTTGCACAATGGAGAAAATCTAGACTAACTGCATCGGCCAAGTAAAAAGTTTAATTTGGGACTAAAAAGATCACAAATCGAAGGAAAGATAAAAGATTCTTTAAAATATACTTCTAGCAGTAAAAAAGGGATTCCATAATTCTACAATAAAGCGCAAGGTCAGTAAAAATTCGCTTAGCCAAGAAAATCTCAACTCACCACAGCATTGTGACTCTGCGCATTAAACCTGTAGACTGGCAGATACGCTTGCGACGACTTTGGGGTCTGGGCTGTCCCCAAACTGGCTTTGTTCCCTTCGGCACATGATGCTGAGGGTCCTCTAACTTCTTCTATTTGAGCACCGAGGAGTTCGTTTTGTAGGAGACAGTTGTAAGCATGTTGGTCTCGTGCCCCGGTTGCACTGTCGCCGCCGCCATCTCCTCTGGCTTTCTTTGTTGGCTGATTTTCTGTGCCCCTGTGTATTGCTGCAATAAGGAAAATATAACATGAGTACCTTGCTTTTATTGGAAAGATTGACTCAAGACGGATTGCACAATGCCTATTACAGAGAACTTCTGAAAAACCAGCAATTTAATTTGTGATTTGAAACGAGAAACATTGTAATGGATATGTAAGTTATTAAGGACTAACTAAGAACAACAACTAAGATGGTATAGCTTAAGGATTAATTATAATTTTACCCTAAACAAACGTCTTCACGTAAAATCATCGGAGCCTTAGATAAAATAAGTAAATATTTATTACAATAACTGTTGTATCTGCACTGTAGGTACAACAAAACGAGCTAAATTAGCAAATGAGGTAATATTAGTACAATAATAATAAACACGTAATAGAAGGGTCGTCCAAAAATAAATTTGTATAAATGGAATTTCAAATAATGAGGAAAAATAGTTAAATACTGCAATTTGTTGTGATACTCAATTATTGGAACTTACACATAGCGTTGGTAAATAAGCATTTAAGGTATTTTTTATAGCCTTCCACCTTATTTATACCTTACTCCATAGTGTTGACCCATATGTCTATTTCGAACATTTTTGGAAACCAAGGTGAAAATTATTCATTCTTGTCCGAAAAAAACGAAGAGGATTATCAAACTGTACATCTTACATATATAGATGCTTCATTTGAGCAGGCTTAATTTGTTGTTTTGCGAGATAGAAGAATAAACAACCTAACAAATAACGTCAATAAGAATCAACATAACGCAGTTTCTTATAACAAATCTTGTATAATTTACTCACAGGTCATGACTAGGCATAATAATACCTATTTCAATTAAATAAATTAGTCAGAACTAGGCAGGTTACACATAACCAAAGCAGGTGCCTATTTATATTTTGACGCCACGCCGCTTGAGTCGGTATCCTGTCTTGTCGCAAACATATGCGCCAGCGCACGTGCCACGTGACTCACGCGCAGAAAAAAAGTTCCTTAACTTGTCGCTATTATCGTTAATATTTTAGAAAGACAGAACACAGCTCAAGTTTATTATTAAATTGAACACTTTTTGATTAATTATACAGAATCTGAACAAGCTTGTTTTTGCTGCTTGTATAGTTTTTAAATAATACTAATTTAGTCACGTCTCGTGTCAGAAAAAAATCTGAGCTTTCAACTCTAGACGCTAAATAAATTAGACTTAAGGAAAGTGGATACTTTATTTTATTTAAGTGTAAAATGTAAAATAAATCAATACTTCCATTTCAATCGTTCAAAAAACCATTCAAACAAATTAAGGTAGCCAAGTAATAAATCTTATTTTCAGAAATGGATCATGGTATTATTAAATCTAGTGGGTCCTTTTTTAGACTGCGATGTTAGACATTACTAATGACCAAATTACCTTTAATTATACCATCAAAAAACAGATGGCGGATTTGACTGACGATTTAGAAACGACCTGGGGGAGATAGCCGAAAATAATATTTGCACTGAGAGCTACCAAGTCATTTCATTATTATGATTCACAAAACACAAATATAATGCACTTGACGACAGTGATTCATGATGATCCCAAGAACTACTAAATAACCACAATTAACGCCTTAGTATTAGACAAGTTTTAAAAATACATAATTTTTGAATGTTTTTAGATATCAACTGCATAATATTACCATAAATTCTTATATTGCCAATATTGTGAAATTTTATATTGAAAGTAAATTAAATAAAAAAGTGAATCAACTATATATTTAACATTTTATTGACAAATTATAACATATCAAATTAATAAAATTGATTTTGATGTCGATGTAAGTATTAGTGCATTTACGATATGGTATTATGACACAATAATGTCTGCGATGCGTCTAGTTTTTTTTATTGTCTGTCTGTCTTATTCGGTCTGCATTTAAATGGTGGAATTAAAATTCTAACTTTATAAGAAGGGCATTGACGTGTGAAGAACATTGCGAAGCCTGGTCGCTGCACTTCCCAAATAACAAACACACATCGGAAGCACGTCCCTAAATTGCATTTGAATGGTGAAGTAATGAATAAAAACATGATTGTTCCCGTGTGGCTAAATCACGCGCGGGTTCACTCACACCTCTTCCTTCCTGGGGCACCTCCATACAAGGTGGAAGACGTTATACATGCAACTATATTTGGTTAGCTACGTGACAGACCATCGGCACAGACATAATTAATTCGGAACATCGCCAAATTCGTCAACATCCGTCCAGGACGCGAATCCGTGCTGAATTATTAAAGGTATAGAGTCTATTTTTCCGAGGTGAGAATAGAAACTAATTGTCTAAGCGTAACAGTCTTTTGCAAGGCCTCCACCTACGTGGTGTCTGCCCACATCCAATTGCCCTGGACACGGAGTCCGGACACAAATTGGCCCCAATTTCTGGTCGTAACCACGACTCAATAGAATTGTTCTAGTAAATATTACCTTCAATTATTGAGAATGTTATGTTTTGTATACAATAAGTGATAACAACAATTGAACAGTGCATCAGTTAATTTACGAAAGATCGAAATAAATAAATCTAACCACAGAGTGGAAGAAAGTGGAGGTGGCTCACAATGTGCCTCACCATGATAAAGCTTATCAATATACCCTGAAAGTGTGTCATACACTCCAGAATGTGTGTTATCTGGACTCAGTAGCAGGTTGAAAAAAACCTGATACAAAAAACGTCGTACAATGTTAACTTATCTAGGTATGCGACAGTGGGCTTCGACGCGCCTACACTTGAGTCAGATTTGTAGAAATGAAAATAGCTAAATAGGCGACGTCAATAATATGTACTAATAGATTAAGCAAACGTTACATACCTATGATAACTATACATTTCATGAAAGAGTAACATTTAAATAGAATTTCTTATCTGCACATAATGTTAACACATTTTACACAGATTTCACACAGGTTAAACAACCAGTATTTTGTTTTTTGAGCTAACAAGCGCGATTGTTGAGAATGAAGTATTGGGTTAGATAGCACTTGTCAGTAACGTGTGGTTGGTGTGTTTGTCAGTAATGGTTTAATTACCACCTTTAAGAGGTACACAAGTACAACATTATAAATTCCAGCTGGTGACCAAGTACCTCATTTTGCTAAAAACACACCAGTAACAAGAGTTACAACTATTTGCCGGTAAAAACTCCCAGCACAAACTTATTTGGTTAACAAATGATCAAGATTCGTTCCACCTTCATCTACAGGCCGTGACTAAACACTAATTACAGCAGGAGCGTTACTGTCGGCTAGTAGCAGGTGCAGTACCACAAGTCGATAACATGGCCTAGTTTTAACGATAACTGATAGCATACGGGCCTAGCCACGTACCTAGTTACATTGTGAAGGCCAGTGAATTAGAAGGGAAAGCCAATTAATGGCTTCGGTGCGAACACGTACAATATTAATAGAAATTACTACGAGTACACAGCAACAAATAAAGCATTGAATTGGTATGAACAAGCATCGCATGATTCATTTGAACAGAAGTATAAAAGGATGTTTGGTGTTCTGACAGGTCAAAGAATAACTGCTGGCACACAAGTTTTTAATCCATCGACATAAAAGGCTCGTGCTTTGTAAACATGTTAACATCGTTTAGTAAATTAGCTATATATTTAAAAGAAAAAGTGCCAACGAATGAATAAACTTTATTCCATGCTAGAAATGAAGGAAAAAACCGCATAGCACGTTTCCTATGAATAATGTTCAAGTGTTTACGTCATTGTGAGAACATTGTGTAATAAGTAATTCCGACAGTCGTACCTACTTACTTCTTGAAATAGGTAAATAAATGGAAACGTTTATAGTTTAGTCAAACGCGAATAACCCAGAAATGGTTGGCTATAAACGTGTTTCTAGCGGAAGAATAAATAGGTTAGACACCTTATTTCGTACCAATAGACTGTTTTGCAAGTGCAACAGGCCGTGCAAGCCAGGGGCTTGGGAACGCTGCTATATCTTGGGAGAATTCTAGACTCGTAGCGCATATAAGCAAGTACTTGTGTCTAGTACCCAGTAGAGTCAGGTCAATAACGGGATCCAACGCAGCGAGCGCATCGTAAGCAGTTCTAATGCATCTGCGCCCGCGCCGCTGCGCTTTCACAACCAGAGACAAGTTCCTTAACCTTAGAAACTTTATCAGCTAATAGGGCCACAAACAATGCAGTTCTATTGAAAATTTATCGTACAGTAGCGGTGTTGTACTTTCATAATGCATCGGTTATCGGTTCTTTCTACTTTATCGGGTGACCCGGCCAACAATTGTTTTACTATATTATGCCAGACGGACGAAATGCCATTAAATATTCTAAGAAGGTTGACTCTTTAATGTTATTTTGATATACAGCCATTAGTAGATAGTATTTAGTAATGTAGACAGCAAGACTGCAAAGAGATAGGTTCCAGGATCTCAAGATGAATTGCAAATTGATTTGACGGATGACATCAATTAGCAACTATTCGCTTTTTCAAGCCTCTCATATAGTAGGTATGTGGTTTACAATTTAACATGGTGGCTTTTAATTTACATTTCAACGCGTGTCATACTTAGGTAATTTGGCGAGCCCAACAAATGACTTCATAGAATAAAATATCGGAGATTTCCTTAAACTAAATACACGTTACGACTTGTGCAGAGAATCGGTGCCGACGACCGTGCTCACACAACTATATCCGTGAAGTTCAGTCGATTTGTTCTCAGTAGCGGCACCTGACGCAAGAACACTGGAAAACGGAAAATTAGTTGTGAACCCAAATGCGGTGCGTTGAACTGCACGCAATTGTCTGCCCTAACCAATGAAATGACTCAGATATTGTAGAGAAGCACCCACCCACGTGTACTGTTCAAATCGTATGTGGGATACATGATACAACATATTAATAAATAGGGCCCTGCATTCGTAACGCACTATGTTCAAACCATAAAATTATAGAGCCAATCATGCCTAGATAGTTATTTAGTCCACTGAATCGTGCACACGATGCAAA